AACAAGGGGTGAAGGCCCCACTGCCAACTTGCCCATGGCCTTTGGTTGTCCCTTTATGGCTCTTCAGCCAACTCAAAATGAAAGTGAAAGGGATCAGCTTGATATCTCCTGAAGTTTCCTCTAACATCTTACAATGTTCTTTGCTGGTTTCAGCAAATTTATGGGGACGGTGAATATATAAGAAGGGCTATCAATCAAAACCTTATGAAGAGCACTTTAATGTGGAGGGAGGAAGGGAAGGAGGAAGGAAGGGAAGGACTGAGAGAGACAAAGAAAGAGCCTAAATGAATCTGTAACATGACCACTCTCAGTGAATGGGGAAAATATGTCATCTTTTGGGGACTGTAGTTAAGAGTCTGTCTGGTGCAGTTTCTAGGGATTACCTGATTTCTGACCACCAGCAAACTGGCCACACTGGGATCTGCGTGCAGAAGGGCAAGCCTACCACATCCCGGCACATGTAAGCAGTGTGCGTAGTTTGGGGTTCGGCAAGTGGAAGCTGGGTGTAGCTTTACTCCTCTAGCCAAGGGTTGCTGAGTTACACAAGCAGTCCGTGTGGCATCTACTCACCAGATTCACTTTGGGACCAATACACCTACAGTCTAAGAGGGTCACCAGAATGACCCAGTGACACCAGGCAGAGTCTTCTGATAGTTTCTATGAATTTAATTCGATTTTGTTGTAGGAGAAAATAACAAAAGTCTTTTACTATCGGGTAGGTGAGCATAATAATCCTTTCCAAGAGGACACCCGTGCACATTGTGCGCGTGACTGATGAAAGCTTACAGTTTTGTGCAAGAGTCGTGGTGGCAGCAGCAACCTCAGACCAACTCAGACTAATACGGGTTAAGCTCCAAATACGACCTACATTAAAAGTGGCAGAATCTGGTGGAGCCTAGTGAAGAATTTCGTCCCACTTTTTAAAAATCCTGAACTTTACAATCTAGCCTATTATGAAAGAGGAAGTATTTCTGACCATATCTTGGAGAAATCAAATGTTTGTATAGGACTCACAAATAAAGATTTGTGCTCCCTCTGCTGGCTCCCTACAGCAATATTAAAGTAGAAAGGAACCCAAAAGAGTGTTGGCATGTTCAGCAAACACAGTTGATTTGCATATACTGATAACTCGTTTAATTTGATTTGGGATATTCTTTGGAAAAAATCAATCTTTATGAGGTCCTGACTAAGGCACTTGGAAATTCTTTAAATTAGATATTAAATTGGACATACCTGTAGTCCTCTACTACCAAATTGCTAGCTGTGACTGTAATAGTGATTTGGGGATTCATTTATCAGCAGACACAAGTGGATTCCTCCAAGGTTTTAGGGTCCAGACATAACCTTTAAAGCAGTTCTGGGGATAAAAAAAAATCTCAGGTCCAAGCTAAAGTTTCTCTTTTTCTCCTCTTGTTTATAAGATCAGCTTCCAAAAAATAAAGATTTATACTATTTATATCCTTTCTGATAATGTCAAACATTAGACTTGATTTTCCAAATCATTAGCATGCAGAAGAATGACCTCATGGTGAACAGATGCACTTGGCTGTGAGCTGCAGCGATTACATCAGTCCCGCCCAGCAGTCGAGGGTGCCCACTCTAGTTAACCCTTTGAAGTCCTCTCTGCCGGCCTCCCTTCCTTGGAAACATGCAGGAAAACACAAGCTGAGTCCCTCATCCCAACATGTGTAAGTGTATGTGTGTGTTAAATGCATTTATATACATGCATAAACATATATATGTATATACGTGTATATATATGTTAACACACATATGTTACACACACGTGTGTGTGTAACTACAGCTAATACTTTCACACTGGCTACCTTTCAGAAGTTGCTGGCCAAAAGGGAAGCGATGAAAAGGAACACCAACTACAGTGCTAAGAAAGAGGCAGGCAGCTCAAACAGCTATTATACACTGGGTATTACTAGTATACGCAGTGGATGGAATAGGTATGAGGTAGGTGGCATTTTAAAATAACATTTTCTGATTGGGAAAATATATAGAGATATATATTTAAATCTCTTTTAAAAAGCTGAGTACCCACCTATGAGCCTACGCACTGCAGATGCTCCATCTGCATCAGTGGCTGACAGTGAATCATGAAGAGAAACACATGTACTTGGCCAGTGTGCCCCTCTATGGATTCCTTGGGTGACATCAACAGCACTGGGACAGGGGGAGTCTGAGGAGAAGCATCTTTGGGCATAAGCCCCTCTCACTGAACAAATTTCTTTTTTACATGTAGGATTCCAAGACTTATATTATAGGCCTTCCCTCTAGCAATGAGGGTGGCTTGCAGCTACAAATACAGTGTGCAAGGAATACAGGGTTCAGGTTATTCTCCCTCTGCATTAACGACAAAGCCCCTTGCAGAGAGGATACAAAGAAAACCGGGGAGCCCCTAATTCCTCAGATTGTGCATATGCATGGGAGCAGGAGCCCAAGGACCCGCTTTGATGGCACTGCTGGCCGAGATGGTCTGATTGGGTCCTGAGTGCACTGTGGGGGCTTAAGCTGCTCAGGGTCAATTTTTCCAGTTGGCTTGCTGCTCGGAAGAGCAGAGTCCACCTCTGTTTCTTAGTTTCAGTATGCTGGCTCATCTGGGTCTGACTGTCCTTGTCCCAAGAAAATTGAAAACACTGAATAAATGAAAACTGTTTTCATCTGTAAATGTGGTGACAACCTGGGACAGAGATTCCTCACAAGCAAAACTGGCCTGGGAAGGAGGGGAGATGTGCTTCTGAAACATATCTATGTATGGTCTGGAGATGCCCCGCCCCCACTGCACTGCCCCCAAATTTCAGGTCACATCTAGTTCCTTCCTAATCTCAGTTGTGGGCATACAGGCAAAGTGGTGATAGAGAACATGGTGCCCAGACTTAAAAATCACACTCATGGACTGGCGTGATATGTGTACCAAAAATTTTATCACTCAACACCAAATGTCCTAAGCCCTGAACATTATGAAATGTCATACGGATGCTAATAACGAGGAAGAACCAGCATTTGTCTTGATAGCTCATCTTTGGTTTCACGTTCCCTTTGTATGGGTTCCAGCGCCCACTCATGAGCTGTCAGTGACTGCTAAGTTACTTTGGCAAATGTGGTGCTCTTACAGAAGCCTGTTAGCAACTGCCTCCAAATAGCAGGTCCTGGAAAACCGTAATCACTTCTGGAGACTCCCTTAAGAAGTTACCTACACACTACCTAATTTGAATTGATTTAAGTAAATCTTTGGAAAAGATCAAATTAATTTATATAGATGCTAAAGTATGCATAGAAAACAAAGTTCATCAATATTTGTTTCAGGAACATCTTAATCTGGAGCCTTAGGAGCATAACAGCAAAGGAATGTCAATATCTAGTTATTTAATTTCTTCTAATTTTAAGAAATCGAAAGCTTTCTCAAGAGTTAAAGAAAAACCCCACAAAACCCTGTATAGAAAAATTAAGTCCCAGTACCTCATGAAGATGAGAAAGAACTGAATGAGATCTTTAAAAAATTAGCTTTGCTACAGATCCTTCATATTCTTTCACCTACACACTAGAAATGATTTTAAACCTCTAGCCAGAGTGGTGTGAAATCTTCAATTCCCTTACAACTGTTTTTTTTTTTTTTTGGTTTTCGATAGAATGTTGGCAGAGTGTATAAAATTCAATTCACAGCTGTTCTTCTTTTAATGTAAGAAACATTAATCAAAGCTTTAAGTTATAAGCTTTCTCATGTTGTTTAGTATTCCAGTTCAACAAAGATCAATAGAGGCCATCCCTGTGTTTCTTGACGCCTCACCAGGAAGCAGAGGCGTGATTATGTAAATCACATGGGCTCCCGGCACCTCAGCCAGCTCGCTTATCTCTCAGGCCTTCTGCCTGCTGCTCCTGGCTCCCTGTGCAAGTGCGAGCCTCTCTCTCTTATCTCCCAACAAAGCTCGGAGAGGCAAGGATTGAAGCCAGTGGTGTTAAACAATGATGCATGGTTGATTTTATTTGTAAGTGATTTATTTCACTGAATTTAATTTTTTTTACTTTGGGTGTAAGATATTTGTTAACAAGTCAGAATTGGAGAAGTAAGGCGGTGTTCAGAGACAACTGACACAGGTTAGAAATCCATTAAGCATGCTAACAGTTGTGTCTACACTGGTGGAAGAAGGAGGAAGCCCCTCATTGAGAATTTCAACATGCATTGACTAAATATCCCATTTACTTTCTGAAAGGCAATTAATCTGTAATTACATGCAGAAATTCACAAGTAATTCTATTCTTTGGGGAAAAAAAACCCCACAGTAATCATATAATCAGTTTAAGTGGTAGTAACCATTTTTTAAAAAAAAAATCAGAAATATAAAAAGAGTAAAACCAAAAAACAGGGACATTCTTGGAAATTTTTGAAATTTTCCATTGGCGTAATAAATGAAAATGACTGAAAGCCAGTTGCTAAACAGGTTCCATGCCAGGTGCTGCTCCGGTCGGCAGCTTGTGCGTGTGACACAGACCACTCCAGAGAGAAAGCGTGCATGCCATTCTGCTGTAATGACGACCAGGGGACACTGTCCTTCCATTTCTCCTGCATTAATCCCTGACCCGAGTATCTCGGCAGCATAATCCCCATTTAGCATTAGTAGCAACGGCTTCGACTGTGAGGAACACTTTTTTGATAAGTAAGCACTGATTCGGGCATCGCTTTTAAACAACATATTCCCAGCTCAGCAAGAAACCCACACTCCTGAATGAACCAGAGCACATTACTGAGAAAAAGTTCATTAACCTTGCTAGATTCGGGGGTTAACAGGATAGCTGAAGAAAAGCACTGAGTGAACAGCTCGGATACAAAACAAATTAAAATGAATGTCATCATTTCTTTTGATATTCATTAGTTGATTCAGAGGGAGAATGCTCTTCTTAAATTTGCAAGCATTTATCTGTGAAAAACAGGTGTACATCTGCTGCTTGAGTGCGTCCTAAGCGCGGGAGGGCAGACTAATGCAGACACTCACCCATTCCGCTGAGGGAGGGGCTGGGCGAGGGAGAAAAGACTTGGGCGGCGAAATCCTCAAACGTCATGATTTCTCGGTGGTTCTGAATTATTGCTTCGAGGTACAGAGCCCGCTCTTCATAGCTGTGGTCACCAGTCAAGGAAGCAAGTGCACATGTGGAATGACATGCATAACAATGACACAGTTCACTTTGGTTTGAATACACTTATATAACTTTTATGAGTGGGGAGAAAAGTACCCTACAAAGTCGGTTAACATCCAGCCAGGAAATTAAATATGAATCATAATTAACAGGAAGATTCTGATATTGAGACCTCAGATTCTCTTAGACTTCAGTTACATCCAACACCAGTATTCCTGAAATATAATGTACATCAATAGTTACAGAATCCCAGCAAAAGATCGTTAAGGTTGATCCAAACAAAAACAGAGGCACTGACTGTGGACACATCTCTTTCCACTGACAGCTGTGGGACAGTGCTGGATCTTCCCTTCCCAGGTTAGTGGATAGAATGTTCTTTTCTCTCTCCTATAGAATTAATTGACACTTGAAGAGAGAATTGCTGGTACACTTAAAAAAAAAAAAAAAAGACGCATGTCCCTGGGAAGAGGGAAGGCAGAAAGGTATGCTGTGAAGGGGTACTAGAGTCTCAAGCCAGGATAGGCTAGAGCATGAGAAAACAGGAGCTAATAAGTAAGAGACTCTAGCGGAGAGTGCGCACAGTGCAATTTAAAAAAGAAAAGACTATTGCCTTTTAATTAAAACTGCAGTCTGGAACACACGCATTCAAATGTGTAATCAAAAACCAGTCACCAATAAAACTTACAAGCGTAACACGCTGAAGCAACTTTCCAGCTGTCTTAATAGGACCCCTGTGTGTGGCAGCCTTTCACAGGGCAGAAAGCAAATCTTCCCCTTTTGTGTATGGCTTCTGTTTCCTCAGAAGGTGAATCATGCACTTCCAATAACAGGATAACGTCAGAACAATTCGACAGCGGATGGAAGCACTGCATGTATGACTTTATGAATTAACACTTGGGGAAGTCTGCATGATGTCTCATTTTCCCCTTCCTAGTTATCAATGCAAAAGTTAAAAGACGTGTTTTAGTCATTTTGAAAATCATGCTAATTCCCCAGGAACACAGGGAACGTGGATCATCATCAATCAGTTCATTATCTGTTGCTCTGGAAGAGCAAAAGTAATTTGAGCATTTCTCACTATATTTTAAAACTATCTTTCCAAAATGGCCAACTTCATAAATAAAAGTTGGTGAAAATGATGCTTTTCTAATTAGCTTTCAGGAGTATGCATGTGATCGAAATATTTTTCTATTTTCCTTTATCAAAGTATGCATGAATTTCCCAGGGCAGGTCCTTCCTCTTCCTCCTCCTTTCATTATACTCAGATTTTTTATACCACGAGACCAGAGGCATCCTGAGGCTGTGCTGTCCAATGCAGTAGCCATAAGCCGCATGTGGCTATCTAAATTTAAATTTAAATTAATTACAATGAAAAAATAGAAATTTCATTCCCCTGTCCCACTAGCTGTATTTCAAGCACCCAGCAGCCACATGAGCCACATCCGTGCTGGATTGCACGGATGTAGAACATGCCCTTTGTCTTGGAAAGGGATACTGGGCAGCTCTATTCCAGAATTTCTCTTTAGGCTTGCTCTCTGCAATTTAAAAAAAAACAAAATGAGTTTGAAGATGTCAAAAGTGGCCCTCTGATGGATTCATAATGTGTTGTATAGATGGTCACCACAGCCTAAGGCCTGGGCAGTGGGAGCTTGAACCAGCTTCTCGAGTGCAGGCTGAACTCCCAGTGACTCACCCTGATGAAGGAACAGGCTGCCAAACTTCCACAGTGAGAGGCGTCCTCTCTGGCCCAATTCTAGAGGGATCCACTAATGCCATTCACGTCTCATTATGAACACGCTTATTCTGCACAGCACTTGGCTGTCGTGCGGCTCGGCCTTCCATGCGCGGCCCCAGCAAACCACGGGTCCAGGGAACAGCAGGACGTTAGGCCTGAGTGGCCGTCTGGCGAACAGGCACTCTGACACTAAGCTGGCACGTGCTGGCCCAGCAGGGGCCGAGCGAGGCGTGACAAATTACTCAAAGAGCTGAGCTAAACTTATGGCTGACAACCACCTGAGCCTTAGGACAGCCGTGGCCCGCTGTCAACGCACAATTCATGGCTACCCCTTTCAGACCGCAGTCTGCTTGAGGGCCTGGGTTAGAGCAGGCGCAGCCCTCTAAAGACCTGTCATGCTCTGTCTAGAATGGTCCTGCTGTTTCCTGAAAGGCCCCACTGCGTCCAACACATCCACATACAGTGCTTGGGACAATGGTGAACAAAATAGAAGTGCGGATGCATTTTGCTAAATATGCTCTGGAAGCCACATATCTGGAAGAGTGGCTGCTATGTTAATTAAGCTCACGGCAGCCCTACAAAGAGATGCTATGCATAATAGCACGTAAGTTGACCTCAGACAGCAGCCTGTCATCCTCATCCCAGATAGCCAATTCGTAAGCTTGTCCTTGTCAAGTCCAAGAAATCTGGGCTCCTAGGAGCAAGTCCAGCCCTAGAGTTACAGGGTGGTGATAATCAAGTTTTGAGATTCTGTGGCTCAATGAATATTTATGGTCTGGTTCCTAAAAGAAGGCACTATGGGAGACAGTACAAAAAGATGCTTCCAGAACCGGATATTAGAGGAGAAAGTGTTTACCTCATAGAAGATTCCCAATTTCGCATTCACGCCCCCCCTCCCCACTATCACACGTGGCACATATTCCCCAACCCCCAGACTGGTCCTATACTGTCACCGGAGCGTTAACAGCGCTAAACTGGGTGTTGTCATTTAGACAAACATCCATTAGGGACTGTGGGGAGACCAGGAGATCACCAAAGCATTTTCACTAGAGGCCCACGCCAGGGCATGTAAACACCATGACAAAAAGAAAACAAACACCACCCCAATCCTGGCAGCGTTGAGAACAGCCAAGGAGCTCGGGGTGCCAAAAATCATTTCTTTTAGTAGCTTTAAAAAACGTAGCTCTGGGATTTAACAGAATTTATTAGAATTATTAGCAAGGGTAATTAGGAGCATATCACCTGACATTTTCTTATGTAACATCTCCAGGGCTTCAGTGTTGGTTACTTTCTACTAAAAAGAAGCATTTATTAACTTAGACACCATAAGGTCCTTCTCATGTGTAAGGCATATTAAGATATGAACTGAATGCTGTAATGATGCCAGGCAGTGGATGGTCAGCACCTCTGGCTGAAAGCAGGTACCTAAAGAGGGTCCTGGTCACAAATCCAATACGTGTTTTTTTTTTTTTTGTTTTTTGTTTTTTTTTTTTTATTTATGATAGTCACACAGAGAGAGAGAGAGAGGCAGAGACACAGGCAGAGGGAGAAGTAGGCTCCATGCACCGGGAGCCCGACGTGGGATTCGATCCCAGGTCTCCAGGATCGCGCCCTGGGCCAAAGGCAGGCGCCAAACCGCTGCGCCACCCAGGGATCCCCCCAATACGTGTTTTAACACTGGCCATTGCCTTATTGTTCTCTTAAAAATTCCACTCACAAATATAAAACTTAAATTCTGTTCTGAAGTACTATCTCATTCAAAACCACACACAGGAGTGCCTGGTGGCTCAGCTGGTTAAGTATCTGCCTTCCACTCAGGTCATGATCCTGGGATCCTGGGATCGCGTCCTGCATCGGGCTCTTTGCTTTGCGGGGAACCTGCTTCCCTCTCTCCCTCTGCCTGCCACTCCCTAGGCTTGTGCTCTCTCTCTGTCAAATAAATAAATAAAATCTTAAAAACATACACACAAAGTAATTTTTAAAGAGAAAAATTACTTCTTGACTACTCAATTCAGAGAACATCCATCTTGGATTTTAGATATTTTGAGCTTCTTCAATGGCTCACTGTGTCTATGTTTTCATGGAAGAAGTTTATTAATTACCAACGTTCCTCTACTTGAATAAAGAGGCTGCATGTCTTCGCTGCTTACATGTTATCAAAAACTTCCAAGATAACATTCTGAGACCCTCAAGACACATTCAGCTGGGTCATAAAAGCCCAAGAATCCAAACCCAATTCCCCAGCTTTATTCTGATGATTATTTGTTTTTACGTTTAGAAGTGACAGCAGCAGCCTGACAGGAAGGAGCTTGCCTTAGGAGGCAGACAGGCCTATGTGTGAATTCCAGTCCTCTCCCCCACTGGCTCAGGGACCCAGGGCAAGCTGCTCTAATGCCCCCAGTCTCGGTTGCCTCATGCGTAGAGCAGAGATGCTGACATCTGCTTTGGGGCTGCCCAGAGGATCAGATGGAATCACATCATGAAGCCTTGACCCAGGTTCCAGCTCACAAGAGAATTGATGAGGATTGTCTGCTCCTCTTCCTCCCTTGATGTGGGCTTCTGGGTTTGTCTTCCAGAAAGTAGGATAAAGTAGGGGGAGCCTTTGTGTCAGGTTTTAGGACAAGCAAGAACCCTTTCTGCTAGATCCCTGTGAGCTGGGGGAGAGCCATGGCCCCATATTACTGATCAGGAAGTGGAAGCAGAAAGGGTTCAAGTGATTTTCCAGAGTCATAGTTACTTGATGGTGCAACTGGGAGCAGAACCCAAGTCTTCCAACCTTTACTGCTTTCTGTTAATATATCTTGATCCTAGAGTACATGGGATTAAGTTCAGGGTTTTGTGCAAGGTTGGGAGCTAAACTAGTGGTGAGGATAAATCAACCCCCTTAAATATATGTGGGTATGAAACTCAACCTGAGTCCATAGGTTTAAGCTGACACCTATAGACCATTCTGACTTTATAAATTGAGAAAAATAACAATTACTTCATTTTAATTTTTTACTTATTGAGGCTACGTGTTTGTTGACTGCTGTCTAGGGCTTTCAATTTCTTCTCTTGGAATAACTCCTTCTGTTTTTTTTTTTTGTTTTGTTTTTAAAGAAAAAAGGGAATTGTCTGAAAGAGTCTCTATTGCAAGTTGTATCTTTTTACAACCCTTGAAACCCTCCTTGCTGGGACCTTCTCTAAACTTCTGAGGAATGGATACCAGACCCAGCCTGACAAAGTACCTTGGATGAGGTTGCCTC